CATATGTTGTAATTTTCATATTTTGTAATGGTATTTTTGTTACATTTTGGTTTTTTGCCTTTTGCTAATTAGACTAAATTGTATTTCTTTCTACTAAATTAGTAAACTATATTATGCTTTAAAACTAAAGCTCCCTACAAAATTTCGGCTCTACCAATTTTGGTAAGTTATACTTTACAATTGTAATTGGTTGACCTTATAAGCCTACCCCCGTACCCAATCCTGTCCTTAGCTGAATAGGATGAGAGCTCGTAATTAAACGACACATCGTTTATAGCCGAATTTATTGGAAAGGCTTGCGCGCGTGGGTTGTTAATTAGTCGAATTAGCGGGCCAATTGAATTCCTAATTAGTTTTACCTTTTCTAGTTCCCGCCGGTACGATCATATTTGAACTTTCCCATTATCTGTCTGTAATATTTCAACGTCTTGATTTTTAAAACCCTAGAGACGTCTCCAACCTCGAGTATCCGAACTCTCTCCGTACTCTTTGTTTGGCACGAGTTTGTCGCTCGGCTCCAAATCTCTTGGATTCTCCGTCGCCATATCGGTGCCATTCTTGGAGTTGATCGCGCTCTCCTCTGTGCCGACATTGAATCCGATTTCCCGAGAAAAATCACTCCTTTGGTTTTCGTTTGTTTCGGGTGTGGATTTCGGCGGTGGGTATAGTCAATCCATGGGTGCGTTGAAGAATTCCACTGCCCAGCGTAGGGTTAGCCCTCGACTGCAGAACCTTCCCGACGATCAACGGCCCTACTATGGTCCCAGTCCGAAACGGACATCCGACTCCGCCCAAAACGACGCCGTTGCAAAGAAGAAACCCAAGGTTGAGAAACCCTCAGCACCGGCGCAAAAGTCTGCGCCCAATGCGAAATCAAGTAAGGAAAAAGAAAAAGTCGAAGCTCAAAATGTAGAGAGCGAGACCAAGACTGGCCCGGATGTGGAAGATGGTGGTGCGGATTTTTTTGCCCCTGATGGACGTTTGACTGATGAAAACGGTGTAAGCTTCACGGCACGCTTGAAAGAGACGCTCAGACTTTTTAATTTGCATTACCTTCACTTTATTCAGGTATTGACTTACAATGTCTATTTGTGTTATTTGCTATGTGGATTGGTGTTGATATCCCTTTTTGTTTTTTAAAATTGTAATAATTTTGAATTGGGTTATAATATTCTTTGTTGTAATGCGTTGCAGGCTATTAAATTTGTGTTTCGATCACTCTGTTTTTTTTTTCGTTTTGGTATAAAAGCAAACTGTGTAAACTTTTACGGTTAAGAAATAAAAGCCAAACCCATTCAAAATCTATTCTTTATAACTAAAGATATTTTTCTGAAATAGACAAATGCAAGTTCCCTTTTCTGCAACTGCAAGTAAGTTTCTTAACTTACAAGGTTTATTGCTTTTGTGCAGGAAGAGGAGAAAAGATGCAGTAAGCTGGAGGTTAGTACTTATATATTTATATATATCTTTTATATTATCTTGCAGAGAGAATGAATAATTTAGTTGGTTCTTATGCCTGTAATCAGTAACGATAATGAGGGTCAAAAGAAAAGAAGTTGTAGTGGTTGTTGAGGGGTGGTGGGATGAAATGCTTTCTCTCGAAGGCCTTATAAATTTCTGCTCAAAGCAGAAATTTTTAGAGGAAGACTAATTCTTATTTTATTTTAACCATAGATCCGTCCTTATTGTCAGACAACCAATAGCCCCATTAGCTTAAACGATTGAGGATGAGCCAAATATGTGTATATAGCTTGCACCCACCTAATTGTTGCATAGAAGCAAATCTTGTTTGTTGGCACGTCTATTGGCCGCTGAAAAGTTTCTTCTTCATAGATGCAAGTTGATGGTAGTAGTTGTTTCTTCATTTTCATACTCATTTTATAGAAAGGGAAGGAAAAAGGGTGGGTGGATATCTTGGTCTTTGCGATCATTATGTATTTTAGTTTGACAAACATTTGCAGAACGGAACTGCATGTTGTGATGATCTTAAGGAGCCTTCCAGGAGACCTGGGGTAAGTTGGGTGCTATATGTGAAATTTGTACATATTATTTTCTTTGATGTGTAGGACCTGAGTTAGATATCATTCATCACACTACATCATATCCAAAAATCTATTGCAGAATGATAGTGCATGTGACGATAAGAGGCAGTCCAAGAGACCCGATCTGAAGGCAATTTCTAAGGCAAGTTGCGTGCTGCATATAGATCTGATACATGTATTATTTTCTAGGAAGCGTAAGACTTGAGTTCCCCACCATTGATCACACTACACCACAGACAAAAATCAGTGGTTTAACCAATAGAGATGTATGTCTTGGTGATTTTGACTGTCACTAATGATAATTTCTAATGCATTTTCTGGATTTGAGAGGATAGTGATGTTGTTTCTCGGACTTATATTTATGTCCCATTGCAATCATGTTTGTAGAGGAAAAGTGAAGAACTGAGAAGTCCTTTGCTGCACACGCACACACAAGTCCCCTATGCATCGTTTTATTTGTCATATATTTTTGTTCAAAGGTAGTTTGACTGTCAAAAGTAATTTAAAATTGGGTGCAAACCTTTCTTTTTCTGACATTCATGTGAGCAACTACATCTGCGTTTCTACTTCTGTATACCCCTTATAAAAATTGGAATTATTATGGTGCCTGGTTTTCTGCTTTTTAATTTTGTGGACTAGTAATGATTCATATAACTTAACTAGTTTGTGTTTAGTAGTAACCAGGGATTATATCCTTTCAAAAATGAATAGTAACCTGGCTTTATAACACTTCTGCTCTAATGCCTCGTACAATAATTGTGATAACTTTTTTCTTAATATTCTTTTTATATTTCTGTTTGAATTCATGGCAGATGCTGAGCAACAATGAAATTTTATACCCTGAACGGAAAATTGGTCATGTCCCAGGTTGGTAATTTTTAGTTTTGCTGGTTGGACCACATATTAACTTTTAGTGCTATCTGGTTTTAGTTGGGAACATTCGGAGAATGTTGGGGAGTACCTTTTTTTTTAAATACTTTGCTGCTTGTAAATATAAATGACGCAGGTATTGAGGTCGGGCATCAATTTTTCTCTCGGGCTGAAATGGTGGCTGTAGGGTTTCATGCACACTGGTTAAATGGAATCGATTACATAGGAGAATCTAGAGGCAAGGTACCAATCTACTTTAATGGAAAGATTGAAGCATTTATATGCATTTACAAGTGGCATTTAATGTAGAGATTCTGTTCCCCACGGAAGAGTTCACAAATAAACAAAGACATACAAGGGTAAAGATGAAATCATCTTTATGTGTGGTTCAGTGATGTGTGTGTGTGTATCATTATATTGATTGTAACATGCTCTTGCTCTATGAACTGAGCTGGAATTAGAAGTAAAATTGAACGCAAGGGTTGAAGGTGATAATGAGGATCACCACTGTACTCATAACCCGTATGCACATCACACTAGCACGATAGTGCTGAGTAGTTCTTAAGTTCTGATTATTGTTTCTTTCTCTCTAAATGTGTTTGCTCTTGTTGGTTTTTAATACTTGAGTTTGAGCTCTAGTGAACTAAGTGAATACAGTTATTTTGAGCTTATCAGCCTCTGTCATGTTGCAGGAGAAATACAAACGCTATACCTTACCACTCGCAGTATCAATTGTGATGTCCGGCCAATATGAAGATGATGTTGATAACAAAGAAGAAGTTATCTATACTGGTCAAGGTGGACATGATTTACTTGGTGATAAAAAGCAAATTAAACATCAAGTTTTGCTTCGAGGTAATTTGGCTCTTAAGGTGCGTCATCTGGAATCTGATTATTGTTCCTTCAATTTCTCTCCTTGAGTCAAATTAGTAATAGAAATTGTTTCAGTTATCACCGAGTATATTCTAGGAACTATTCCTCAACAGATTAGATGAGAAACAAATTAGAATATGCTAGGATATTTGGACATGAACTTTCACACTATTTGCCTGAAGTTTTCTTTTCTCAGACTCCTAGAGCAGCGATTGCAAAAAGGTTGAGTTTTATTCCTTCAATTTTAATAATACCACGTATTCTCTTGATTGATATAAAAGCTTCCCCTATTTGCCCCAGTTAGAAATCAGCATTCTCCTTGTAGATGAAATTGTTATGAATATCAGTGATGAACAAAATAGTTCTGTATAAATTTTGCATCCTTTAGATATTGATGCAATATGTAACAATTTGTGTGGAGTGTGCAAAAATTGTCAATAATGTCATCATAGCATATGATGCCAAGCATCCAGGCAATGATTTATTTCACATACATACTCTTTGCGCTTTAGAGTCCACTTTGTTACTAACTTTTTCCCAGATGATGATGTGTTATGGATGTGAGATATTCTTCCCTGCATGTTGTTTACTTTTGTCTTTCTATTTTCTTGCAGAATAATATGGTGCAGTCAATTCCTGTTAGAGTCATCCGTGGACATAAATGTGTGAATAGTTATAGTAAGAAAGTTTATACATATGATGGACTATACAAGGTTCGCCATTTTCATGTGTATGTTATTGTTTATCAAACGTCTTAATGGGGTCGAGTGGGTTACCACAGTGGTTGTGGCCCTCCTCCTTCCCCCTGCTTGGCACCCAGGATCAGAACCCCAGGGTTTCTTTCCTCCCATTGTAACAAAAAAAAAAAAAAAGGGTCTTAATGGGAGAGGAATCATTGCCGCAGGGCATAAGGGGAGGTCATATCAAAAGTATACTCATGTGTTAAAAAAATGAGAAAAATGAACACATGAAATCTTTGCTTGTGTATCATAGCTCTTTTAAGAAACACATAAAGTAAAGCATGGTCAGAAAATTGAAAAAGGAACACAGTTAGTTGTACAATAGGAAATACAGAAGTTTTTAGCTGCAGTTTGGTTTGAGTTTAGCGGATATTGTCAAGGTGCCCCTTAAGTCAAGCTAGCAACCCTGACAGACAAAATCCCATAACGGTAACTGAACCGACAGATGAAGCTAAAGTAATTGCTAGGTGTTTTTTTTTTCTTTTCATATGGATAAAATTTGACTAAGCGGCTAAAGTCTCTTTACTTATTTTCTTTCCCCGGAAGGTTGTCGATTATTGGGCTGATAAGGGTGCTGCTGGATTTGACGTGTTTAAGTACTGTTTAAAGCGAGATGGAGGACAACCCAAATTGCTCAGCAAACAGGTTATCATTTCTTTTGCATTTTTGTAAAATCCAATATGCAAATTTCATTTAGTGGCGCAGGAACAGAGTGTGAGAAAACTTTTATAGAGTTTTTTCATATATTATTCTCTCAGAGCTAGGTTGGCATGCAATTGGCTTTCCATAAAAAGTCGAAGCTAGTTCATTATGCTCTTGTTTAAACTTTTTAAACTAAGCATAAGGGTAGGAAATAATGATACTCCTTATATAGTCCACTGTCAATAATTCAGAAAATTAGCAAGATGTAGAAAAGAAAATAGTTACATTAAATATATTTGATACTAATCTTATACTCTTGGACACATATTAGATGCATTATCTTTTTATGTATTATAGTTAAGGAATTTCATTACAAGTTAAAAATTCTGGAGATGCTTAAGCGACAAAAAAATTTCAGGTTCATTTTATTCGTGGCCGAGGGTCTAAAGTTCAGCCTGAAATACCTGGGTATGAAATCAGTAAGCTTTTCCCTAAATATTTTTCTGTTTTCCCTCCAGTTCTGTTCATTCCAATGTAAACCCAAGGAAGCATGTTACTTTTTCAGGTTGGTGTGCAAGGACATCTGTAATGGTCAAGAAAATAA